GGTACCGGGGATTGAACTCGGGTCCTTGCGCTTGCAAGGCAGGCCACCGAACCACTGAGCTAAATCCTCGGCCCCACCAAAGTTATTATTTTGAGTATGTTTTCAGAGACTGTTCGGAAAGCTACAGACATGTAAGAGGGGAAAAGGAAAGTTGAAGTAATTTTTTTAGAGTTCCCCTTTTTTTCCTTAGTCAAAGGGAGAGAAGGAACCATTTGTGGAGCTATCGCCCAGGGTGACCTGGAAAACCGAAATCACCTGCTGAAGTTGTAAAGCTTTGAGCCCCAGGCTGGTGTGCAGGAGGAGCAGGAGGGCCCAGCCCAGGTGGCGTCCTCTCTCCAGGTCTTGGCTAGCGAGAGCTGTCAAGTCTGCATGCGCACCCTGACACCCCCAAGCAATGGCCAGCACTGAAGCAGAAGCAACTAGGATGACGGTTCAGGCCACGGAAGGTCAGTGCTCGGGAGGTGGCCCAGGGCACAGAGGGAAGGAAGTCTGGCTCCTGGGATAGGTGTGGTATTGCTTTTCCTGCCTTTCCTTCTCCCTCCTTCCTTACCCTGCAGGCATTCCTTCTCTTCCAGCCTCTCTGGCAACAAATTCTTCCAACTGGAGACGTAAGGGACCCTGAACTATGGCAAAGCCTGATCACTGTGGTGCCTACAAAGTTCTTGCCTAGGCCGAGCTGCTGAAGAAAGCCACACGGTCCCTTGGTCGCACTCTTGGTGTGGGCTGCCCCCTGAGGTCCCCCATACAGTAATGTCAGTCATTTTTTCCATTAGCAAAATCAGCCAAGGTGCCCAACAGTGCTGCCTCCTGCCTGGAAGACACTGCTGCTGCTTTCCAGACAGCTGCCAGGACAACTCCATGGGCTCAGCCGGACAGCTGCACCAGCAGGCAGGTGTGAGTGGCCAAAAGCTCAGGGTCTACTGACCACATGGGCAGAACCAGGAGTGTCTTCTGCAGTATCCTCATCCCCATCCTGGGCTCTGAGTCCCAGAGGAGCTGGGAGGGTCATGGAGGTGGGTATACCATCAAGAACAAAACTTTCCCAACAGCCACTCAACTGAGCACTGCCAGCAACTCACAGCAGTTCTTTCTTTACCCTTAGAGAATACCCAGAAGAGACACAGATACAGGGAGGAAAGGGCCAGGTCTTTTACCATCTTCTTGCATGGGAGAGCCGTCTTCTTCTTCTATGATGTCATTTCCCTAGGACAGAAGAAAGGGCTTATGAGTCTAACAAAGCAGTCAGAGAGGAGCCATCCCCACGGTATCTAACTCCATGGGTTATGTCCACAGTGCACATTTCTCAACCACATCTGACATGCCAAGGAGGCTGGGGGAAGCTCCAGCAGTCTGTGGGGACCAGGTCTGAGCCACACTGGTGTCGATAAATACTTAGAAGGGTCTGCCAAGAATATCCTTTTTCCCAGGCATGGTGGTGTGCACCTGTAATCCCAGCACTCAGGAGGCTGAGGCAGGAGGATTGTCTTGAGATCAAGGCCAGCCTGGACTATACAGTGAGACCCTGTCTCAAAAAATAAAACAAAACAAAACAAAAAGCCTCTTAAGAGCTTAGCTGACACTGATTCTCCAAGATGGAAATAAAAGTTATTTGAAAAAGCAACCTGTGAGATGGTAAAACTTTCTTTTTTTTCTTTTTTGGTTTTTTTGAGACAGGATCTCACTATGGAGTTGAGATTGTCCTGGAACTCACTGTGTAGCCCAGGCTGGTCTTGAACTCACAGCGTTCCTCCTGCCTCAGCCTCCCAAGTGCTGGGATTACAGGCATGCACCACCACACCCGGCTGAGATGGTAAAACTTTCTTTTTTTTCTTTTTTGGTTTTTTTGAGACAGGATCTCACTATGGAGTTGAGATTGTCCTGGAACTCACTGTGTAGCCCAGGCTGGTCTTGAACTCACAGCGTTCCTCCTGCCTCAGCCTCCCAAGTGCTGGGATTACAGGCATGCACCACCACACCCGGCTGAGATGGTAAAACTTTCAGAAACTCCTTAGGTTCCCAAACCCCATTTGATATCCTTTGATAAGATCTGGCTCAAGAAAAATTAAGCCAGAGGCGGCACAGCACCGGATGTACTATGGTTAGGGGGCTCCTCACGTTGAATGGTAGGAGACCCCATGTGCTCCTGGGGCTCCTGGATGGAGTGGTTGAGAGTGCGACAGGCAGTCATCTCTTTACTCAGTGGCCGGTATGTTCCAGCACTGGGGAGCACCTACGACCCAGCGTCCCCGTGCAAACACTCACCAGATGCACAAAGGACAGTGTGTTCCTGAGGCCCAGGGGCTGGCGGGAGACAGGGTCCCTCTTGAACTCATTCTACACCGATCACACTGGAACCAGTGTCCCTGCTACCCAAACAGTGCACAGGCCCAAGTGTGTGGCTACCCTTACGTCTGCCCATTTCACCCGAGAAGGCTTCTTCAGTACCCCACCCTGCTGGCATCCCCAGCCAAGGCCAGGTGTTCCTTTGGCTCTGGGAGGGGTGTTGCTGTCGGCCAGTAAGGTTACCTCTGCATCCTGCTCTCCGGCAGGGAGGCCGGCAAAGTTGCTATCTGGAGACTCAGCTGGCATCCCCTGCAAAAGAGCAACAAAGCCCAAGGACACAGTTATTACAGCCTCTCTTGTAAAGCTGGCACGACAGTAAACCCAAGGCCAGGCCTTCCTCAGCGCAGAATTGGCGCCAGGGAAGAGTAAGATCTAAAGGGTACTGTGCTGTCCCCAAGGCCCCTCCCAACTCTCCCCAGGGCTGTGGTCAGCCCTGACCAACTCTTGATAAAGCAATGCTAGACACACATGCGCATGCCCTTCCCTTACCTCCCCTTCTGAGGGGGCTCTGCTTGCTGCCCGTGGGGAAGGGAGGCCTTCTCCCTCCTCTTCAGTGCCAGGGGCAATGTAGGAGCCAGACATGGAGGAGACTGTGTCAGTGCTGATCTGGGAGGAGGCCATGGACATGACGGACTGGGCCAGGCTGCTGCTGGCAGGGTCTTTGAGACATGGGATGGAGGAAGGAGATGGGTCAAGGGTACTGAGGAGTGGAGCTCCCTCCTTGAACTCAGGCCATGAGGGATACAGTGACCTCATCTTTGCTGCTCCCCCACCCACAAGATTGACTTAGTTTCCCAAGATTCTGCTCTTCTGTCTCACAGAGCTAAACCTCAGCCTCAGGTATCAGGGGTCTGCTTTTCCCTGTTACAGTACTGGGCCCAAGAGAAGTGAGCCCCCCCGATAGGAGCACAAGTCTTCCTCCCTCTCCATCTGGGGCCAGGTCAGCCCCCAGCTCTGGCACCGGCATATGCAGCTGTTCCCTGCTCCCTCATACCTTCCGGGGAGGAAATGGTGGAGGACAGCGGGGTCCCTGTGCAGGATGACTGATCAACAGCCCCTGATGAGGACAGGGTGAGATTCTCACTTTCTGGAGTTACGCCACATTCCTGGGGGTGAGGGACATGGAGGAGGGTCAAATCAAGTGTGTTGGAGGAAGAGGGTCAGAGCAGGGGGCTGGTGGGAGGAAAGGAGACACAGACTGGAGTGACACGAGAGGCAGTGCTGGCTTCTCTCCTGTCAGCACCCTCTACAGTGTGGGTCTGCGGCGACTGCCTCCCAGGGGAGATGCAAACTTCAGTCAGCACCTCCTGCCTGAGGCCCAGCATCTGCCGGAGCCATACAAATACTGCAGCTCCAGTGACACAGGTCACCCAGCAGCTGTGACATGGGGATACCCCTGGCTTCCCCAAGATTAAGAACAGCTTTCCTTGCAAAGCAAAGGCACGTAAGACCAGCAGGGGCTCACTGCCTGCAGGACATTTCCACATGGATGTCGGCTGAGCACCGAGTGGAACCTATCCAACCCATCTCAAAAGACACCTCTGCCCCAGCCCCACCTGCCAGTCACTCAGACACAGGGCCTCGTCATCCCAGGCAGAAGCGGAGTCCTCCCAACCACTCTCTACAGTCCACTCCTTCTCCAGGTAGGCCTTCACTTGGGCCCTGGCCGCTTTGTGGCTTCATCGGCGTCCTGACCCAGTCTGCACGCGTTTGTGAGGTGGGGCTCTGGGAGGCAGAGCTCTTGCTGCATCCCTGCCTGCTCCAAGCCTCCACTTGGATTTTTCCCTTTCGTCTCAGTTAGAGAACATCCCAGCATTCAGCTCAAATGCTTCCTCCAACGTATTTTCCTGATTTCCTCCACTGAAAGAAATCTCATACACCTCTATCATGACATTTTATGGTTTTCGTTTTGGGTGCTCTTATGTTTTATAGTTAAAACTCATTCTTTTAAGAAATGGGCAATAACAATGTGCTTCATATAGTTCTAGTATTTGAGTACATGCACTGTCCCGTCTAGACCTGGACTCTTGAGGCAGGGAAACTACGGTCTTTGAATGGCCCGCTGCCCCCAGCTCAATGCCTTCAGAGGAGCTGGCAATAAAATTCTAAGACATGTCTGTAGGGACGAACAGGGTAGAACGTTCCAGTCTTCTGCCACTCCAACCACACTGGGCCCCAGGGCTTTCCAGTACTTCCAGGCCCATAATCCTCTCCTCAGATCTCTGTGTAGCTCACCTCTCGCCTGCTCTGCTCTGCTCCGTTCTGGGACCACTGTTTCAGTGGAAGCCCCTCTTCTGGCCTCCACACTCCCTTCTCCCATCTGATCCACACCGCCTGGCGCATGTACACTTTGTACTTTGTCTTTTGCGCTCACCCTGTCCCAAGTCATAAGCACAGAGGCAAGCTGAGGGCAGGGGCTGCTGTGCTTTCCTTGCTGCTGCTACCTCAGTATATGGGAGAGAGCATGGAGGATAAACAGGCTCTGTACACTGGGAATCGCATGAGACTCTCACAAAGCCTTTGCGGCTGCTGCCTGGAAGGTGGTGAAAGGTGTCTGATGAGTGAACGAAAGCAAGGGGACCTGAGACCAAGGAGGCATGAAGTCGGTGCTAGCGGTGAGCCCCCAGGGAGGGAGAAGAAAGCACATTACCTCTCCGGAGTGCTGAGCAGCCGGTCTCTGAGAGGGCTGAGTCTCTGACTCGCTGCAGGATCGCTCTTCTTCCTCTTCATGTAGCACGGAAGAATTCTGTGAAACGGACCTGTAAAAGTCCAGGGGGAAGAGCAGCTGCATCCAACATCCACTTAGAGCCTGGAGCTGCCCTGACTCTCGTTACCCAGACTCCGCAGGAGGAGGAGGCCACCAGGGAGCCTCAGAGCTGGAAGGGAGGTGAGAGGAGCACCGAGGAGGGTCAGAGACTCTCTGCTTCTAGCTCCTCCCACGACTTGCTGCCTGAACTTGGGAAAGGCCACTGACATACCCAGGTCTCAAGACTTCATTTGTAAAACACCCCTCTTCACTCTGCCACAGAAACTGGGGCATCATGGTGCCCCGATGGATTTAAAGGCTTTGGAGATAGTCACAAGGTATCTTTGGTTTTCAGACTAAGCCATGCTCCTCAGGGGGCTGAGAGGCCCTGTCTGTGGTACTCATCTCTTTCCTGTATCCCATTCCCTGCCCACAAACACAGGAGAGGTCTAAGGAGAATTCTCGTAAGTACTCCCACACATCTTATTCCCATCTCTCAGGGAGGAGTACCTGTCACCCCCCCAAGGCTCCCCCCAGGGCTTCTGACAGACTGAGCAGTGGTGGACCGTGAGAGGGTCCATGTGCCCTGGGCCTAGTATGTGGTGACCACACAAGGAGGGAAGGGTGGGTGGGAAGCTTCTCATCAAGGACCAGGGCCACTCACTTGGAGAGACTCTTTTTGAGCTTGAGTCCTTGGCTGCTGCAGTCAGACAGGTGGTCAAGCGGGGAGAGTGTCCTGACGGGGGGCAGGTGGCCGTCGCTGCCGTAAGAAGGCAGCATTCCTGAGAGGTGACCATCTCCAAGCACGTGAAGTGGAGGGACTGCTGGTGACGAGGTGAGGGGTCCATTGAGGGCCTCCAGAAGAGACACCACTTCGTAACCTGGTGGAATATTCTCTGAGGACTAGGGGAATCAGAGACAGGGTGAAAAATTACTTAAGTACTTCTTGTTTGATGGCATCATCACGTTTCCTACTGGATGCAAAAAAATGTTTTCTTTCCATTGGGTCTTGAGGGTCTGGCAAGAGAAGCTTCTGTACTAGACACAGAGGGAAGATAAGATGCCAGTCACACACTCCTAGATTCTGCTCACTGGTGAACTCTTTCTTAATAATGTGTATTTTTTTTTCTGATGATAAAGTAAATAAATAATCATTACAGGAAATCTGGAACATACAGAAAAGTAGAAGGGAAAAGCATTGCCACTAATCAATCACCCAGAGTAACTTTAGTTAAGTTTTCCAATTATTTTCTTTGTTCTGTTTGCACATTTATGATCAATCTATAAATGAAAATTTTATATCCTGCTTATTTTATTCAACATAAATATTTTCTGAAACTTTTAAGACTTCTTTCCATAGATATCCCCTTTTCATAGGCACAGTCAGTTTTCTAACTAGTCTGCTAGTGCTGGGTATTAGGTTGTGTTCAGCACATCCTACTGTAAGTCAACATGATCTGATGAACACCCAGGCTCATCAAACTCTCCTCAGTTGAAGACCATTTGCTTAACATGTACGTGGCCCTAAGTTCGATCTATGGCACTTGGAAAGAAAAACTTTTTCAGGTTATTTTCTTGATATTAAAATTAGAAGGGCTTAGATTACAGTACTTGGTATAAATGTTTTGTTCTGTTTTCTTGATGACTTTTCTAGTTTTATTCTCCTATAAGCACTATCTTGATGGAGTATCTTTAAAAAGAAAAGTTTTGGGGCCAGGGATTTAGCTCGGTGGTTCCACCACCTGCTTCACAAGTGCAAGGACCAGAGTTCAATCCCTGGTACCAAGAAAATAAACAAACAAATAAAAAGGAAAGTTTTTAGTTCGATCCCTGGTACCAAAAAAAAAAAAAAGGACAGTTTTTAAATTTGAAAGATGAAAAATGTATACCACTTTAATTTCACAATGATATTTAATGTGACTAAATTTTTGTTTGTTTTTCATGGTGCTGAGGATCAAACCTGAGGCCTCATGCATGCTTGACAAGCATTCTACCACTGAGCTAAAGCCCCAGGCCCAGTGGAACTTTTTAAAGGTGACTATTAACTATCTGTCTTTCCTCTTTTGAGAATTTTGATTTTTTAAAGACAGGGTCTCACAATATAGTTCAGGTTGGCCTCAAACTCACTGTAGCCCAGGCTGGCCTCGAACTTGCAGTGATACTCCTGTCTTAGCCTCCCAAGTGCTAGGATGATAGGCATGTGCCACCATGTCTGGCAAGAACTTATATATATCTTTTTTTACTCATTTACTAACTGTTTTATCCTTATGAGCTATGGCAAAGTCACTAGATTTTTTTCTCTGATATATATGTTGTGAATAGTCTTAAACAGTTTGTTGTTTGCTTTTTAATTTGGTCATCTTTTTTTTGTTGTTTTTTTGAGACAGTGTCTCACTTTGTAGTCCAGGCTAGCCTGGAACTCACAGTGATACTCCTGCTTCAGCCTCCCTGGGATTACGGGAGTGTGCCACCATGCCTGGCTTAAGCACATTTGAGAACTCTGAAGTTTTAAACTGTATATGTGGCCAAATCTAGATTCTTTTTTTAAAAAAAGTTTTCATTGCTTGTGAGGTTAGGGTCCTTCTCCATCCAAATCAATTACTGCCTTTACCAGCACTTGGGAGGCTGAGGCACGAGAATCACTATGAGTTCGAGGCCAGCCCAAAGTACAAAATGAGACCCCGTCTAGAAAAAAAATTGCCTATAATTTACTCTAGGTTTTTAATCTTTTGTTTTGGTTTGGCTTGAAGTTACTCTATCTGGAATGTGTTATCTAGAAAGGGTTAAAGTACTAAACTGATTTTTCCTCCCTAAATAGCTACCTAATTATTCCAATACCATTTACTGAAATAATAAATTTTTCCCATCATGGGTTAATAATCTAAAGAAAGACAATACCTGCTATTCTACAACTGCAAGTTTCCAGGTTTTACTCTAAACTAATCACTAACACTGAGAGACACTGAGGTTGGTTGTTCTTTTGGCTTGGCTTCCAGTCACTGAAGCCGTGAAATGAGATAAAGGAAAAGTTATCTTCTTCAAAGATTCAAATAAAGATAGTAAATTGTATTCAAATCCAAAACAATCATGTCCTTGTTCTGCTTGGGGGAGTTCCAGAGCTGGACCCCGCTGGAGCACTCTGCAAGCAGATGGCTCTAGGAATGTAAATATTAACTGGACAACAAGTTCCCAAGGAGGGAAAGGGAGGTTTTAATGTCAAGTATTCAACTTTCTGTTGTAGTATTGGCTGTTTTTAGCATGTCACGATCTCGGCCAGCCTACTAAATCCTTCAGCATGCTCAGATTGAATTCCTTGATACAGTGCCATGTAGAAAGGATGAGAAGAATATTCAAAAAGAGAAAGCCAGTGAAAACACTGGCATTTGCTTCAGAGGGGCCTTGGTGCAGAGCCCAACTTACTGAATGCTCTTCAGAGTCAGATGTCTGGGACGAAATGATGGGGTTAAAGCTGGATGGGGACAAGGGGCCCAATTTTTTCCTCATGGCTCGGATCTGAAGCAGTGCCCGGAAGGCTGGGAAGAATAAAACAGGCCATCAGGATATGCTGCTGCAGGATTAAGGGTGAACAAGAGCCCACACAGCGACCACAATCCCTCCCTCCCTCATCCACTAGTTCGCTAGTCCAGCAGCAACACGTGCCTTGATGTTCCACAAGGCCCTCCCCGCACTCCCGCCAGCCCTCCCAGCCTGGCTCAGGACTCACGCAGCCGGCAGATGGGGCAGTTGTTGGCCTGGTAGCGCAGGGTGTCTGCACACGTGTTACAGAGGCAGAGGTGGCGGCAGGGCAGGATCAAGGTGTCCCGGACATCCGAGAGACACACCACGCACTCTGCGCTGTTATCACTTACTTCGTCCTCGGCCACCTGGCCAGGGAGACAGAAAAGCAGCCAGTGACGCCAAAGCCTCCCTGACTGACAAGGCGGCTCGGCTAAGGTCTGATATAGGTAGTGAGAATGGAATCCACACTGACACGGGACCTCCCTGTGCTCCAGCTCTCCCACTGTCCAAGTCCCACCAATTCTGAAGCGGAGAGCAGGGACTAACTGCCAAGCTCATCCTTTGAGGTCCAATGCTGGCCTTGGGACAGTCTGAGTGGAGGGGACCTCCCCGAAGAGCAAGGTGAAAGGATAATGAAAGACTCTCCCAGGAAACGGAGCTTGAAAGAGCTCCAGAGCAAAACAAATCCAACCCAACTTAGTTTTCTCATTTCCATACTGACAGGAGCATGGTGACCCGAAATGAGGACTAAGAAATACCCTCTAGGACCGGACTGACTCCAGAGGTTGGCTTGCTGAATTCCTCCATCCTGGATTGGGCAGAGTGGTGCTTATCCTGCCTCCCAGGAAGAGAACATTCAGAACTTGCATGAAGCTTACCTTAGAATCTTGAGTGTTGTACTTGTTTTCAATTCCGTAGATCTCCTGGAGGAGGTAGCTAACCCCATCTACCTGAATGGCAAATGGAGACGTTCGGGCTGATTCTCCTGTGACACAAGAGTGGACCCCACCCCGGGGCATGGTCACCCAGGACTACTGATTCACATAGACAAAACCCAAAGATCTAAACCAGGAGAGGATACTTTCATTTACTTATGTTTTCTCTTTGAGAGAGAAAAGAAAATCAGATGTTTGATTCACCCACCATTACATCCAACAGGGAACTCAAAGTCCCACAGTGCAATAATAATACTTTTCCGCAGCCCACTATTACGGACAGTTACGAAAGGCTCACACTAGACAGAGGATAGAAGGGTATGTATTGCAATGAAAGCTTTAGTTCTGCAAGAAAATTTCAGCTCATATGTTATAAAAATAAAGGAATTGGGGGGGAGG